CTGACTTCAGTCTGACCATCAGTGGAGTCCAGACTGAAGATGCTGCAGTTTATTACTGTATGGCTCAATTCTACATCAACAGTCAGTATTCGTTCACACAGTGAAAAATCGTCGTACAAAAACCTCCCTCAGTCACACTGAACAGAAACTGAACTGATATGGTTCACTGAACACACACACACACACACACACACACACACACACACACACACAAATTAAGAAAAGCTAATAACATAAATTCTCTTTCTTGATGAAATCTCTTAACTTTCTGAATGAAACCTTCTCACCATCTCTTCATGTTCCATTGTAATTTCATGTTCTTGTTGAATATAAACTCTGCTTATTCATTTTCTTTTCAAATAATCAAGAGGATTCAACTTGGGACAAAAATTGTAAAAAAAAATTTTGCCAGAACTATTGACCTCAGCTTCACTCTAGACCACAGCTACTTCATTTCTATTCTGATTGAAGAAAACATGAAGCACAAATAAAATCTTCACATCCCTCGACATGGACAAATATTATCTCTAATATTTAAAGTTGTGTTATCTTAAGGAAGTTTAAAATGAATTGGAACCATTTAAAACCAGGAGAATCAAGGGACATACGATCAAACTACATCTGCCTATTTAAATGTCCAACACCGAATATATGAACTGCTAAATTAATGACTTTCTCTTATGGAAGTGCTCAAAGCCACTCCTCAAAAAAAACAACAAAAAAACAGATCACTATCTTGTTATAACGTTAAAAGTTTCCTGTTATAATGACATATTATCACGTTTTAACAACATACTAACTTATCACGTTATAACGAGATACGTTTTTATCTCATTATAATGTGATAAGGTGTCACGTTGGTCTCAGCAGAGGAGGACTCCTGTGCCCTGGTTGTGAACTGGCACTTGGCCGTTGCAGTGGCAGCTGGCGACACAATGGCAGCCCTGAGTGATGCCCCACTGTTGAAGTTTCTACGAAATCGTAGTGTACCAGAAGAGTGACTTTCGCATATAGAATCTCACCATGTCTCAACCCAAGCATGAAGTAGAACTTAATGCAATTGTGTGAAATAGCCATATTCCTCCCTTTACCCGTGCTCTGCCCGCCGTTTTCCCAAACGTGATATGGTTTCAGTTTATAACATGATAAATATTGTCTTGTTATAACGAGACACTTTCACGTTACAACGAAATACTGATCCTTTTATTATTTTTTTGGGGGGGAGTGGCGGTTCAGCGCTTCCGTACTCTCTGACACACTTCTTATAAATCCATCAAACGCATTGAGACTGAGAACTCATTTTAGACTTGAACAACTCTAAATTCATGTTCACTTAAGCAGATGATACCCTGCTTTTCATTTC